TGGTACTGCACTTGTGACGTCATCAAAATTGCACTCCTTCGGCAATACTGTTGCAAAACGTACCAGCACACTTGGGCCGGAAATCTGAAGAAAATTGAGGGTAACCAAGACTGATGAACGATCAGAAATTCTCTTTGTCAATATGATGTGTGCGATGTGTTCCTCGATTCCAATCCTTTGCACAAATGGAGACACGAGGTCATAGAACACATGTTCTTTGAAGGCAATGTGGAATTTCCAGGGTTCAATGGTATCTTCAGCCCATTCTGATGGGTCGCCTCCAAGAATGGCTATCTTCGGTTCTCTACAGAGCAGCATATTCTCGTGATCTACCAGCCACGTATAAACCGAGAAAATGAATTCCTGATGTTCATCTCCTTGACAAGTGTCAATGTGGCCTTCCACGACTCTCTGAAGATCTAGTAGCCAATCTTCCGTTATGGGCGATAAACTATCAGCATTGTCATCCTGTGATTCATTTGATCCACTAGGCTCTACAGACAATCCAATCTGCATTGCTTGAAATACGTCCGATGGGGCTTCACCATCATGACTGTCATGACCAGGATGCTCATGATTCAACGAAGGCATATCTACAATGTTCTGCAAATCTTCAGCTTGATGAGAGACTGCGGGTGCGAGTGCCCTCACTTCTGTCTCATTCAACATGCTAGGAGAAATATTGGAAACTGCTTCATCTTCGTAGATCATCCAAGATCTGTTGATCCGAACTACCCTGCTGGGTCAGTTCGGCCAGAGTCATGGTTGAGCAAGCATATCTCTCGGATGGCGGAACTGCTATCCTGACGTAATCACCATTGGATACGACCCTTGGTGCTTCATCATAATCAGGCCATCTTTGCTCATTCAGGAAAACCAAGCACCGGTTGTTTTCTGCACGGCAAAAGCGATCAACCTTTGCAGCTTTGAGCATGTCATTCCTGACTGAAAATGGTGGAACCGGAATAACAGAACGCACGACGACAGGCCCCAATCGGAAGTTGAGCTCAATCCTATGAGCATGATATTGGACATCAAAGAGGACCAGCACATCTGCCCTTCCAATCGGTATGTCATCAACAATGTGTGCAATTGTTGGCACTGCATTATCGCCGACATCTGAAACAGGAGCTGCAATCTCATAAGCATCAACCAATGCGTCCCTTTCAATCGCAAGGGTATATGCAATATCATGCATCATTTCTTCATAGCTGTCCCAATTGATGTAGGCCCTGATTGGGTGATCGTCCAAGTGAAAAAGCACTACTTCCTGCCTGCCTGCAGTAGAACTAGGAGGATGGGCGTTCGAAGAAGCATCATTGTCACTGAATTCGCGATCATTCGATTCCGAGGATTCGGGGCTTTCATCACCTTGTGCAAAGCCCCCTGTTCCTGTCCGATCTTGTTGGAAAGCAGAGACCATATTTTCTTGCTGATAACCAAAAGGAGACATTTTGAAATCAGTCTTTTCTGGAACTGGTCTTTGCATCATTGATATAAAATCCAAATCATGAACAGGTATATCACATTGCTTCTTGGAAGTGGACCCTTGAACATGAGGATTTTCTTTTTGTGCGCCTTTTGATACTAACGTCCTTGGGGAGCTCGACACGGCCAAAGATGACTGCGGAGCACCACCCACAGGACTTGTCACATTGGTGATGTCGCTCAGGACATTGCCATTATATCTTTTTGGTTTGGTTTCAGATTTTTTGTCGAAAGCAACAACTTCGATACACATACCATCGTACAACCTCTGACAGCCATTCTCATCATAAGGAAAGCATACAGAGACAATGTTGTGCAACCCAATGCTCTCTGCAATGGAAGAAGCTTGCTGGATCAAATCGGATGTAGAAGCATCCCAGTCTACGCTGGTAGCAACTCTGGCACAATTGGACTTCAACACATCGCTCACAACAGTGGCCGTTCGAACAACTACCAATGCTGAGCAAGAATCTGGTTGCGTTGTCAAAATCAAATCGGCACTATGCGAGTCATGATTTTCTTTTGGCAAAAGGTAATTCACAAGCCGAACTGCACATCCACCAACAGATTGAGAAAAATTTCGCCAGTGACTTGCGATCTTTTGTATCCAGGACGAGGCATCTGATGAAAGAGTTATAACGCACGGCAACTTGCATTGAGTTTGCTTCTGCTTTTCAATCATCCAAACCTGAACTGGCAGATCGAACTTTGTAGTTGCTGGACATACTTTGTTTTGTCGAAGGTCAGCAATCCTCAGCAGCCCTGAAATCCAATCAGTCGCATCCAATCTTCTGTTGGTAAAACGACATGGCTTAACAGAACATTCTGAATCGGCGGGATCTTGCTGAGAAGGAAGGCCAATTTCTTCGCCGGAATTGTTAACTTCACAACCATCATGTGAGAAGTCCACAAAAGGAAAAACCAAATTGGTAAGCCTTCTCCAGGAGTAGATGAAACTTTTCTGATTCGGGACATAAGACCATGGTTTCTCGTTCCAAAATTGCAAAGCATCATGCACCACAAAAGTACTATACATTTGCCATGAATCATCAATTCCAATTCGCAGCTCAATACAGTCATCAAACTGAACACGCTTTGATTTGCGACGAACAAGATGTGGCTCTTGAGAGCGGCAAATAGGCAACTGGATTGGATGACAGGCATCACAGGCATGAGAAAGCAAAGTTAGAGAAGCACCTGGCTGACAAATCATCTGCAATACTAATTCACTGCGAAGTTTCCATGCTTGCCAAACTGCTGACATTGGACTTAAATAGTTCCATTCCCCAGTCACTGAATGGCCGTTCGGAAACATGTAAGGCCAGGCCTCATGGGACCCATTCTTGGAAACTGGTGCCCCACGGCCATTCTTCACTGCTTGGTCGAGCCCTTTTGAACAGGCTCGATTGATCTGGGCCTTTTGGACGCAGGTATCTTGTCTGTTTCCTCGTCGGAAACATCGAGCACTTTGGAGTCGGCTGAATCCACTGTGATGCCCAGGGAGCCTGCACATGCATTGAGAACTCCCTGAAGCTGATCCCTGAGTTTCTGTTCCTCGGGGTCCGCAACATTGTCCTGACTGGCATCTTCGGATTCTTCCTGAATAGGCTGAGGAATTGAAAGGCCACCTTCTCTGACAGTGTTTTCGCTGACCTCTTTCAAAATCCTGCGAGAGGATTCGATTTCTGCTCTGGCGCGAGTGGCATTCTCGGACAGAGCTGCTTGATGAACACGAAAGCTCTCTAGCTGCGTTTCCCAAATCTTGATTCCCTCTCCGACATGTTTGGTCCATTGCAATCGATGTTCCTTCTTGGCTGCGATTGCATCTCTGAGGGCTTTCTGTGCATGATCTAGGCTTTTGGTCGCTGCTTGCAGAGACTTGATATTGTTTCGACTGGATTCCTTGTCTGCCTTCTCTAAGAAGGCCTGGACGTCTGAGGGGGGCTCGGAGTCCTTGTATGCATGCCTCAGGTGGACAGCCATTTCCTGCATCGTTGAGGTTTTGCTCGCCTGTGCCGATTGGAAAGGCGACGCAGAAACTTCCGGAGCATTCCAGACTGGCCAAGGCGGCAATGGCGCTGATCCACCTTTTCCTGCACCAAAAGGACTGTTGGAATATTCCATTTTGGACTTTCCTTTTCCTTTGTTCTTTCCCTTCCCTTTTCGTCCTCTGGGGGAATAACTTCCCTGCCGATTTTGTCTCGCTCTTGGTGATTGGGACTGCTGACGGGCTGATCGATCTGCATCCGCCCATGTCTCCCATGTGCTCCAGTCTTCCCACTGATTGCTGCCACCATAAGTCTTCTGCTTTGGTGTGACGTCGTGTTTGGCTCCGCATGTCCAGGGCTGCCAACAAATCACACATGTCATTGCAGTCTTCTTGTTGAGCCTTCCACATACACAAACCCATGGGTATATCTCTTCCGATGCCATTTTGTGAATTTCTGATCCGATCCGACTCAAAAACCCTGAGTCCCTTGAATGATGTTTGATAAAGATATTCCGTACCCTGATCAAAGAAGCAGAGTTCAGACTGATCTTTCCTGTCTTGTGCAAGTACCACTGCCTCCTTGCAGTGGCACGCCTGCGCCTTTCTTTGCGGCGCAATGTATTGGAAATTGTCAATCGCAAAATCGTGTAAATGTGTGAAGGTAATGACCAATGCAAGCAAAACGTGAAGAAAGCTCATTCACAATGTGCAAGCCAAAAATTGAAAAGTCTGTACGCGAAAACCTCGAAGCAATCCAAACCCAGGAAAATCAACTGTGAATGAGAATGCCGGTCGTTGGCCCCCGCAGTGCCAGAGATTCCACACAAATATCAGTAAACCCAAAGACAAATTGTATGCAATTCCCCACAAAGTGTACAATGAGCCAGAAAATCAAATTGACCAAATTGCAAGAGGCCCAGTAAAGAGCAGCTAATGCAAAATATGTGCCGGGGTTTTCAGGAGAACCCCAAACCTATCAATCCGGTTCCACAAGGTAGTCGTGCAACAAGCGCGAAAACCCGCAGGGCAAGACACCGGAACTAACCCTGCTAAGGTTAATGGCGCCCCTATCAAATGCTGTGCAAAGGGGCGGTTTGAACCAAAAACCTTGCACATATACAATCATATACACAAATTTAGAATAATTTAGAACTATTCATTCGAACACGACATGCATGTTTTTCTCATGTCCCAGTCAGACTGATGCTGATGTTTTCTGCGACCTGAGGAGACATTATGCGCGTCAGACAGCAGGGACCCTTGGAGTTTGGCCATAGATTTCTTTGCTTGACATCCTGAAATTGTAAGTCAAGCTGAAGGAGATTACGATAGATTAGGTGTTCGTGAACAGTGAACTGAACCATCTCATTTTTTCAGACCAGAACGGGTTTCTGGGTTTCTCTTTCCGCCAGAACGATTGGTTCACAGTTGCACAGCATTGCACAGCACAATTGAGACCAGTCCTGTATGAGGTGTCATAGACCGCAAGGCCAGCCTTCCAGAGGATTCGAGATTTCCACAGATGGATGTCGTGATGTCGACCTCAATATGTGTAGTTTTCCAGAAGCTCATGTCATAGTGTCGGAAACATAGGAGAACATAGTTCAAAGTGTAGTGATTCATAGATATTCATAGTGTATGTTCAAAATCTTCGGATTTCAAACTGCTTCGGAACATTTTTGTGATTTCATACTTATAATATTTCAATATATGTCATACACCTGAACATATTATGTCATGTGATTTCAATATATGTCATATGTTCTCATACACCTTGTGTCAATTTTTGTGACCGCCAGGCGCTCTGCTTGTTACCCAAGGTCTTTGCCTGGGAGGTGCACCGCAGACGTGACGTCTCGATGGTTTGACCATGACCCGAAGATTTCTGGTTTGGGATTTCTATGGAAACTATGAAATCCCATCTAAAATCATAGTTTTCATAGAAATCCCATCTAAAATCTGGTCAAGTCCCATTTTTTGTTCATCACAATCAACACTCATCATCACTCATCAACCATGAAAATCTCATGGAATATCCCGAAAAATCTCCACTCTGTAGCCCAATCCCGAACCCCCCGGAACCCCAAAGGTGCACGTGGATGTCCTGGTGCTGAGCTCCGGGGGCAACTTGTTAGACTCTCTGGCGCTGGCGCTTTGCGCCGTGCTCTCCGAGACCTTACTGCCCAAGGTGAGGATAGGTTTAAGTCGGGGATTTCTTGGACAAAAAAATGGCAGGATCATTGGGTTTTTGGATGTTGGGATTTTGGAACATGGAAAATGGGGATCTTTTTGGAGAATCTCTTTGGACTTTTTTTGATGTGGTTGATTCGGTTTGATGGATTCTTTGGTGGAGATTTGGATTTGAGAGCTTTGAGAGGATCAGCTTAGTTACTGCCTTGGAACTGGGGTTGGTTTCCCCAGTAACGGAATGACATGTGAACTTCATGGGATTTCATCCATTCGCAGCATTCTGTAGCAATGATTGAATTTCCCACTGGCGGATGAGGTGGATGTGATCGAAGCCATGGAGGAAGGAGAAGATGTCCAACTGAAGGTCGCAGTGATGTGGGATGATAATGATTACTATAAGCCTTGTATATATATATATATGAATGTATATATCTATATAGAGATAGATAGATAGATAGATCGATCGATGGATGGATGGATGGATAGATAGATCGATCGATCGATAGATATAGATAGATATAGATAGACAGATAGAGATAGAGATAGAGATAGAGATAGAGATAGAGATAGATAGATAGATAGATAGAGAGAGATAGATAGAGATAGATAGAGATAGATAGAGATAGATAGATAGAGATAGATAGATAGATAGATAGAGATATAGATAGATAGAGATATAGATAGATAGAGATATAGCTAGATAGAGATATAGCTAGATAGAGATATAGATAGATAGAGATATAGATAGATAGAGATATAGATAGATAGAGATATAGATAGATGGAGATATAGATAGATAGAGATATAGATAGATAGAGATATAGATAGATATAGATAGATATAGATATAGATAGATATAGATAGATATAGATAGATATAGATATATATAGATAGATATAGATAGATACAGATAGATAAAGATAGATATAGATAGTTATAGATAGATAAAGATAGATATAGATAGATATAGATAGATATAGATAGATAAAGATAGATATAGATAGATATAGATGGATATAGATAGATATAGATAGATATAGATAGATATAGGTGGATATAGATAGATATAGATAGATATAGATAGATATAGATAGATATAGATAGATATAGATGGATATAAATGGATATAGATGGATATAGATGGATATGGATTGATATGGATTGATTTAGATTGATATAGATTGATATAGATTGATATAGATTGATATAGATTGATATAGATAGATTTAGATTGATATAGATTGATATGGATTGATATAGATTGGTATAGATTGATATAGATTGATATAGATTGATATAGATTGATATAGATTGATTTAGATTGATATAGATAGATATAGATTGATATAGATTGATATAGATTGATATAGATTGATATAGATTGATATAGATTGATTTAGATTGATATAGATAGATATAGATTGATATAGATTGATATAGATAGATATAGATAGATATAGATAGATATAGATAGATATAGATAGATATAGGTAGATAAGATAGATAAGATAGATAAAATAAATAAGCTAGATAAGATCGATAAGATAAAACAGACAGATAAGATAGATAAGGTAGGTAAGATAGATTAGATAGATAGATTAGATTAGATTAGATTAGATTAGATAGATAGATAGATAAGGTAGGTAAGATAGATTAGATTAGATCAGATTAGATTAGATTAGATTAGATTAGATAGATAGATAGAGATAGTGATAGAGATACAATAGAACAGAATAGATAGATAGATTAGAATAGAATAGAATAGAATAGAATGGAACAGAATAGATAGATAGATTAGAATAGAATAGAATAGAATAGAATAGGAATAGGAATAGGAATGGATAGAATAGATATATAGATAGTTAGACGAGGTTTATCCATTGCTTATCATAACTGGGTTTGAATATCGGTATTATTAGAACTTACTTTTGCAGGGCAAACTACAAGATTTCGTTGAAGAAATTTTCACGGGGGTTGTCTCAAGCGCCAGGTGGACGACCGGCCTGAAGCCGGCATGCGCTTCCCGATGCTCGGAAGGGACTTGTGACCACGGGAATGGTAGGAGAATCAAAATTGGGTGGTTAAGACGACTTGGTTGGCCCATACCACCCATACCTAGGGATTAACAGACGGTTAACACACTGGCGCAAGTTCAAGCCATGGTTATCAGTCCTGAAGTGAGTTGACGAGTTGATTTCCACCACTCCGGCCATCCCAGGATGAAGCAGCTGCCTCTCTGCGTCACCGTGGCAGAGATCTCCGGGAAGTTTCTGATGGATGTCACTTCTGAAGAGGAGATGTGTGCCGAGGTCGGCGGTGCCGGAAATGGATGATTGGTTGGAAAGATTGGAAGGTGTGATTCTTTGTTGTTTTGGAGGCTATTGGAAGTTTGGGAAGTTTGGGAAGTTTGGGGCCTTGGTATTTTTGACCGTGGTATGTTTGTACCTCAAGTACCTCATCCACTGCCATGGTCAGATCTGCGGATTTCCCGTATTCCCTCGGATCGCCCGATCGATAAAAAAAGGCCATGCTATGTGTCGTGGTGGACGGCAAGACTGGAGATGTGATTGGCTTGCACAAGCACCTTTGGCTATCCGGAAGTGTCTGAAAATCGAATACCCAAAAGTTTGATGGTTAACTGGTTAATCATCATTGTTCCCGATTAAAATTGCCATAAATGGGTATACCCTATTGTAAGACATAGACATCCGGTTCAGTCGACGTGCGGGAATTTAAGTGGGGATATAGGGGAACTGACAACGTCAAATGATAGCAGAAGCTTACATCCCAATATGACCTACCTCTCCGAAATTGGTTTGGAAGAGGATTTTTTTCTGGAAGTAGCCATTCTCAGGTACCATCTTAACATACTTTAAGCTTCCCATGGTATTTGCCTCAGGCTGGGGCGCGGCTTGGTCGACGTGAGCGCCATGCCTGCGATGCTGGAAAGGTGAAGTTGGGTGATTTCTTAAGGGACACACATCACAGATACATTTTGTTCAAATAACACATCAGTTGCCAACTATCAATTGGCTTGTCATGGAGTCATGATCTGAAAGCATCCCATTCTTTGAAGGGGCACGTCATCTGGGCACATTCATGCCCATCGACTTTAGGGCCACAGCTGCTGAACAGGTGTCGGGCCACAGCAGCTGCGTTGGCACAGCAGCCAGAAGCCCAGCAGCTTCAACTTGGGAAGCGAAAGATGATCTAAGTACCTAAATATATTCATCAAAGCCCCAAACTGCATTGTATCATTTTTAAAGAAATGGCCAACTTTGCTAATGGCCACAAGAAAGTTGGTACCCCGTCGTTTAGTATGTACCCCATTCTCCCAGATGGTCGCTACCAAACGTTCAAAGTCATCACCTTCAGAAATCGGTGAGGATAGAGTCGAACTGCTTCAGAAATCGTCTCCTTGAAGCCTCAATCCCTCCATATTTGATAAAAATAGATGTTTCTTTAGTGCTGAAACCCCATAAAAACCCCATGTCATTGTTGTTTTTATACCAAAACTCCAAAACGAGGTTGGACCGCGAGCTGTCGCAGAAAGATGCTTGGATGTGTTGGAGTAGATGGAATGAAAATGATCCGCAGATCCTATCCCTGGCTATCCCTGGCTATCCAAATGGTCTATTTCTAAGTCTGAGAAGCACCTGGTGCTTTCTCATGCTTTATCTATTGAAGAGCTTCTCTGGTTCCATATGGAACTCAATATGGACTCTAATATGACTGGCTTCTTAGGAGAAAAGAACGTTGGCCATGCGACCGACCACTTCAATGTGCTCAACCTTCACCAATAGGTCTCCTTTAATTTTTTCTTTCTGCCCAAGATATGTCTATTGCTGTAAGTTTCGGTATATAACCTCTGGGATTCAGATATCTCATAATATGTGATATGTCTTGATATCAAGATTTATAGTTTATAGACCTCTCGATTTTCCACACCATCCATGGATTTCCCGAATCTTGACCGATGCAATTCAGCTTCGCCAAGATCAATGGCCAAGGCTCCAATCTCAGGAGTTGCCAGGTTTCATGTCCTGAGGAAACCAACGGGAAAATCCCATCGAATTTCGTCAGTATCGCCATCACATTCCATGAACTTTTCCCATTCAAGCCCCATCAAAAGTCCATGGAAAATCCATAGAAATTCCCTAAAAATAGGATCAAATCCCCCAACAACTCTCACTCTTTGGTGGTGAAAACCGCGGTTTCGCCATGGGTTCCGGTGCCTCCAGCTTGGCGGACGCCACGTCGCAGCAGCTCAGCACTGTCGTGGCAGAGCTGTCGCTGGAGCAACGCCAGAAGCTGCGCAGCGCTGTGGAGATCCTGGAAGCGCTGGAACTCGGGCGAAGCGATGACTTGGGGAATGGGATTTCTAAGGGATTTTTATACATCTGGTGGGATTTCTATTTTAGCCATTGTGGGATTATTTCTATTTGGTTAAAACATACCATTTGTGGGATTTGTTTGGAGGGATTTCACCAGAAATAGAGATTTATACAGGGATTTTACGATCAAGAATGAAGATTTCGTGTCTGGGGTGTACTAACATATTTGTTCGTGAATCCTATTTTTGGTTGGATTGGAATTGATAGTGACTTATGCTGGATTTCTAGGGAATTTATAAGGGATTTTAGCATCAAGAATGGGGATATTTAACCATTCATTATGGGATTTGTTTGGGAATTTATAGGGACGTGACCATTGAAAAATAGGCATTCATGGGATTTAACCATTGATTAGAACCTATCTATTCGATTCTATTAGTTAACGGGATAATTGACCAGCAACTAGTGGGAACCAACCAACAAAATTGTGGGTCTTTAGACCTGATGAGAGGAGGTGCTGCACAAAGTGCGAAGCAAGATGGGAAAGTAGCAGACATGAGTAGAAAATCAACTCTAAAGAGGCTACCAGCAAAATAATGGTGAACGCATGATCTCCCCATGGTTTTAGTTGATTGCGATGGTTTACCTTCCCCAACCCGTCAAAGAGCCATGTTTCTCCGCTGCATTGCAATAGCTCTCGATGCCTCGGCGCTCAGGAACCAGGTCTGTCCCTCCGATCCGTGCTGTCGGGGGAAGTGGTGAAGGCAACGTAGTTGGGACAGACGGCCCTAGTCATGGGTAGTTGTGGATATATATATATATATATTTATTTATTTACGTATGTATATATATATATATACGTAAATATATATATATATATTTGTATAGACGTATATATTTATTATATATATATATGTATGTGGGATATGTCACATGGCTATACTATGGATATAGCTGGGATATATCATTTATAAATATGGCAATAGTATGGCCTAGTCATATTTGATATGGGAGATAGATGGGATATATCATCTATAAATCTCGAAATGGATATACCCTCTGGGAACCAAACGGAGTCGTGTCCGTTTTGTCACGGGGGTACCCCAAATCATCCAGTCGTCATGGAAACCAATGGGGACGACGGATCCAACCCCCGTTTTTAAGAAACATCCAATTTTTTGGGTACCCAGCAATCTGTAGCCTGATGGTTGATATTGATGATTAACAGCTGGGTGATTTCACTCCAATCATCACAGGGATGTATCAAGGGATCCGAAAGCCAATTGACTTCGCTGCGCTCTGCAAAGTTCCACAATCTCTTCGTGCGCCAAAATGATGGGTGGTGAGGGATCTCGTCCGATAGAAAATTCATCGATCCACCCAGAAACCAGCACCGCTTCTCTCGCCAGGTGCAAGCCAGCAAAGACTGGACCTACAGAGAGTTGTCCCAAGCATTGCAAGGAAAACTGCAGGCGCAGAAGCAGGTGGGAGACGGCCACAGCATGGTAAATGTGATGGCGTTTATTGTGGGAGACGGCCATCCCACTTAAGTGCTTAGTACCCATAGTACCTATTGTTATGCACTTAGATTGGTTTTCGGCCAGTTGCCCAATTGGGAAATAGTATAGTTATTAGCGAGTCACCATCCAATTGGATCTTCAAATGGCTAGGTGGTGAAGTTCCACAAGTTCCACGCTGAAGTCATGGATGAGTACAGTAGCCTGGAGGAGTTGGGAGTAGATGTGATGCTCGACGGCGATGGGATCAAGCCACGAAATGGGGACTTGGTAACCAGGATTCTCAACCGGTTACTGAGTGGGATGTAGACTTTGATGTAGAAAATCGCACACTGCTGGTGCTGGAGAATATAACCCATGACTAACACTTTGTTCACGGAATTTCCCCGGGAGCCCCAGTGTTTTGATTAAATCCCCAGCTTGGATCAAAACCCATTTTGTGGGTAGCTGCAAATCTCTCAAATTCCGGCTTCTTGCTGGTAAAAGGGTCCTTTTGCCTTGTAGAAATGCATAGAAATACTACTATGATTTGTTAGTCAGCTAGTTCCCCATTTTTGTCAACTGGTCGCATTTTTTTGCTATCCAGTAATCTCTCCGTTAAGATAATGCACCACTAGTTGAGCTTCGCAGGGATTTTTCATTTCTAACCTATGTGTGATAGTTGTAGTTCTAATCCTCAACATTTATCACCAATTTATCACAAATTTGTTTTGTTGCTTCCGAAATGAGTGACTTTTCTCAACCCATGGGCCAAGGACCGGCTCGCTGCTCTTCAGCCTCTGCGATCTTCCTCCTGCTGAGCTGCTGGAAGTGTCGACAGAGGCGCTGGGAAGGATCCAAAAAAGCGCCTTGGACGATGATGGCAACGGTTGAGGTGACTGGGTCAGATTTTTTGAGACTTTGCTCAGTACAAAAGTGGGGAAGTTTAGCGAGAATGGTTGTGATTTCACCCAAAAATGCTGGAGATTTGGTGATGTTCAAAAAGAACAGCTATGAACCACTGGAGTTTGGCTCGCTTTTTGCAGACGCGTTTTTCCATCTCCTTGCCGTTGAAGCAAAATCACTTCCTTAAGTTATTAAGATCATCAAACCCCTTGAAATCTCTTCAAATCCCTTTAAAGATTTTAAAGTCTCATTTTGACCGGTGATTTGTTTGGCCACCTTCCTCAGTTCAGGCGACATTTTTGAGCTAAAGGCCATGGTACGTCCCTACAAGGCATCCCAGCGGTGCATGGAAGCTGTGGCGCTGCTTCTGCAGAAGCAGGGCTGCGACTGGCAGGAGCTGAAACAGCTGTTGACACCAGAACTCCTGCAGCAGGCGCCATAAGGAAGTGAAACAGTGAAACGGTGAAACATGGGGAGTTTTCAGTTGCAACTCAATTTCCATTGACCGGTGAAACATTATGTTCAAATATGTTCAATTGGGCTTGCTAAAATGGAAGTGCACCCAATGAAAATATGGCTAAACCCAGAATTACTTGGGTATTGAGGGTGGATGGGGGTTGAACCAGCTGGTGGGCATGGGGAAATTAAGTTAATGGGTGAACCTTGGTAGTTCATATGGTGTTCAAAGGTCAGTCAAATATTGACATCATCTTTTAAAGGAGCCATAACCAACAGTCATTTGGTATTCAGTTGATTGGCCGCACGCATTTGGGGCAGCATGGGGACCACCAGGTTCAGGCCATTGACACGGTCAGCGACGAAGTTCTGGTGCAGCTGCAGTGGTACATCAAACATCCAGACTGTGAAATGGACAAGATCAAGCACACAACCAGTGCCTGTGTGGTGGGCCTTTGGTAGCTTGCTGGCACGACATTGCCGCTACATGATGATTTGGTTGCTTATTTTGTTTGCGCCACTTAATCAATTCACACCTAGGGACCGTTTTTGGACCTAGCAAAAGCTTATTTGTTTGTCCGAAACTGTGAACCCAAAAGGAAAACACCGCCATTGATGAAGAGATCATGATGTTTGCTTTAAAAAATGAGACATCAGAGGCAAGTTTCTGTTGGGGTCATAGCTTGAAGTAGTCCAAGGCATTGGGTGCTGGCAGTCAATGCCAAGAGCCTTGCAAAGCACCACAAAGCGAGAACTGACCATGGGGTCAGAACTTAAGGCCCGTGGAACTTCAGATCTTGGACAATTTTTAGTAGAAAACCATCTCGTTTTTGGGGTACCCACGTTTGACCCGTACCCGTCTCACCATGAGTTCTGGTGATGGCCAAAGTTGCTGTCAGCCGAACCATTCCGACACTTCAATGATCCAGCTGAAAATTGATATGTTGTGTACCAGTGAACTTGCAAACATGTGCAAGCCTCATTTCTGGAGATTCTCTCCACATTCTCGGGCCAGCCGCCAGTTACTCAAGTGAGGGTTTAAACCGCAACTGAATAGGAATCCGCTTCAGGGTGCCGCAAGTCATTCACATAGATCATTTCATGCGCCAAATTCCCAATGCACTGGGTTTTTTCCGTGACAGCGATATGAATCACATATCCATAACTTGTTAAATAATATTGTTTATGTATTTTATATATATATATATAAGCTAGCAAGGATTTTTCCCATGTTTATCAATCACCCCCCCAGCCATATATAACATGTCATTGATGACAAGTTGCCAGATAAGTTTGGGTGATGTCTTGTAGAAAAAAGTGGGAAAAGTGCCTTGTAGAAAAATATATCATAGAAATAGTACAAAATGGTAAATAAAACACTAATCAAATAATGTTTTGCTATTTGAATTATGGGATGTATTGATATACTCTTACATCCATCCTACCACAGCCACTATATTCTCTACATCAATCACCTTCACATCATCGGCTTCATCCTTTTCAATCCATCGTCCTCATTGATAAGGTGCGCACTGAGATGGGGAGGGTGGAAACTGCCCAGTTGCCCAGTACAAAGCTTGACTTTTGGTAAAGATTTCATTGAGAGTTTGGACTAAGGTCCTTCAAGCATATCACACAGCGGATTCAGATGGACAAGCATTGACCCACAGATTGACGATTGTCGCCATGCATGAACAGAGCGCCAAGGTGCATGAAAATTGGATATGGTATGATATATGGTTCAGATTTGGGTCTCTCAAAGAATTTAATTTTGCGGCCTATGGTGATGGACCTCCCTTGTCCGGACATTTTGGCTGAAGATCTTTGAGAAAGGACTCGGTCCCATGGCCAACGCTGCCATGCTGCCCATACTTCTGATCTATTTCTTGCGACTGGTTATGGCACATCGCCTACTACTGAACGAAAAGGAAGCTGAGTTGCGCGTTCCTGCAAAATCTGCGAAAGAGCGTTTGACGTGGATGCTCCCAGCTGCGTCCTTATGCTCAGCGATGCTGGCAGCATCGTCTGATACGCACGTGCCTCAACTGGTGGCTGCGAAAATGCTCGGACTCTGTCGAGACAGCGAGGGAGGTTGACCTGGAGGCTGGATTGCAAAGCTTAATGGAACTTCAGACAACCACGGATTCATTGACACCTTTAGCTGACGCCCCTCCAACCGAGGAAGATCCTACTCGCATTCTCAGGTTGTGCCATCTTCATTGGCCGTGCCGGCCGGTGGACCACCACCACCTCCAAGTGGGAAGAGACCAAATATGCATCAAGTGTTGGCACCTCAGTGCCTGTGAAACCGAAGCATTGCCACCACCTCCAAGTGCCACGCCAAATTTCCCACATCAAGTGTCTGTGCCGGCTGAAGCACCACCACCAACTCCAAGTGGGAAGATGCCAAATTTGCCGCATCAACTGTTGGCATCTTCATTGCCTGTGCCAACCGAAGTATTGCCACCACCTCCAAGTGGGACACCAAATTTGCCACATCAAGTGCTGCCATCCCCATTGCCTGTGCTGACCGGAGCACCACCACCACCACCTCCTCCAAGTCGGAAGACACCAAATTTGCCACATCAAGTGCTGCCATCCCCATTGCCTGTGCCGACCGGAGCACCACCACCACCACCTCCTCCAAGTCGGAAGACACCAAATTTGCCACATCAAGCGTTGGCATCCTCATTGCCTGTGCCGGCCGAAGCACCGCCACCACCTCCAAGTGGGACTTCAAATTTGCCACATCAAGCGTTGGCATCTGCAGTGCTTGTGCCGGCCGAAGCACCGCCACCACCTCCAAGTGAGACTTCAAATTTGCCACATCAAGCGTTGGCATCTTCATTGCTTGTGCCGACTGAAGCACCGCCACCACCTCCAAGTGGGACTTCAAATTTGCCACATCAAGCGTTGGCATCTTCATTGCTTGTGCCGGCCGAAGCACCACCACCACCACCACCACCACCACGTCCAAGTGGGAAGACACAAAAATTGCCATATCAAATGTTGCCATCTTCATTGGCAGTGCCAGCAGAAACCCCTCTGCAATTACCAGTTGAAATCTTCCGCCAGGTGTTGCTAAGTCGCTTACATTGGCGACTCCACCCTGGATGCTCGTTTCCGGTTTGGTCTTGAAAACGCTGCACTGACCAAAGACGCCACGTTGGAAGCTGCATGTTTGTCAGCAGCTCGCACATTGCTGAGTGGCCAGCCGTTGCAACCCCAGCCCGGAGACACCACATTCTGCGCGGTGCTGCCAGCCGGGGCCGCTGTTTTGCGACAGTTCGCGCCAACCATTTTTGAGTTGCACCGTTTGGCTGCAAAGGGCCGAATAAGGATTGGTAGCAAGTTGTTGTTGCGTGAGGTGTCCGAGCACGTTCGTGTGCGAGGTGGCAAACTGCTGCTGGCAGCATCAGCCTTGCCAACTATGATTTTTTACCGAAAACACATGAAGGAGCTGGCCAAAGAACCGTGCCAGAAGCGGTGAACTCTGCACTCGTCACCGATTGGGCCCTGGAGCAAGCACCTTTGCCAGTGTTTTGGATGATCTCGTGAAAGCTCGACAACGTCTTAATATGGGCAAGATGAAGAAAAATGCGCGTTTTTGAACGCTTCTTTTTGCGGGGAGGGCGCTGCGCACTTTTGAGATGTTGTGAGAAGTTGTGAAACAGCAACAAGGACGCATGCGTTGAACTTGTGCAACTTCATCCATGTGGCAACCTAAACCAGGCCCCAGCGCTACACCGTCGACTGCAGACATTTGTTTGGCAGCATTGCTTGGGATTTGGTTTTTTTTGGTAGGGGCACTTAGTTTTCATTATTTCAAAGCGCAACATCACACTCCACCATACCAGCGACACCAAGGTAATAACCTATGAAAATTGAAGTGTGGAAGAGTTCTAGTGAACAGCAATTGGCTATGGGTTCGTCGGTGAGATGTGGTACAGGGTTCCACTTTTAATGGGTATAACCACCAATCTTATTCATGGGGTCTTCATCCAATCTTGTGGCGTAAAATCGCATCCAATTCCAATAGATTTTCAAGGAAACATCCAAACCCCATACGGTATATCTAGATATATGTAGTATATACCGTATACCCATCACATACCATATACCCCCTATATATCTATAGGCCCCATTGATATGTATATGTACATGTTTATTTTAAATCACTTTTCAAACACCTTCACTTCGTTGATGGGATGCAGTTGCGTTTGGTTCAGCCAACAAACTGTTCCAGGATGCTTTCCCTGCCCGACGTAGCCCAGGAAAACTAAACCTGCAGCGCCAACTGGCGCTTCAAAACACGGCCGTGAGTGTTTGGATGGTTTGTTGCGGCTTGAGAATAGCCTTGGAAATCTGGTTTCAGACTACATTGAAAATTGTACCATTTTAGTACAGTTGTGTTTTGATTCACACGGTCACAACATCGCTCTTGGGAGTTGGGGCCAAAAAACACGGAGGATCATAACCAATGTGGATATCACAAATCCCGAAACCACGGCACCTCTGGGGTATCAACATGGCGGCTGATAACCTTGGAGATCAGAATCAAAAAACACCGGGGATCCGGGGAACCCCCAAAAGGTTTGCTTCACGCTGCATCCCCAAGATCTTTTGAACCAATTCGACCTCAGTTGCCTTGGCATCACAGGCTCAATTCGCCGCAAGAGGTGGCGAGTTTCCTTGTTCAATGGTGGCAAGTGGGCCTAAAAAGATCACCGATTTGTAGCTGATAGGGGTGGTGTTGTGTTTGCAAAAAATCGAAGATCATCCGATCAAAAACACAACAGTTTTCGACATTTGAAACTGATGACATAGTCGTCACCCCTCAGGCTGAAGCAGTAAAGCAGATACTGGGTGAAATTCAGCTACGGATTCACCGTGCTCTCCCGCCATGGCGGGCTTGCAGATTGAAGTGGAGGAGAGTGTGACACGGGACCACCCAAGTTTCAAGCCTCGTGACCCATCCCCAGAACCGGAAAAATGCAGCCAAGGATAAGAAAGACCTCTGGAACATGATTCGAAAATTAACAATTGAGATTTTCTTTCTCCAGATTGAATTTACCAGAAGGAGATCCTGATCACGATCCATATATTCATCCATTGTTATGTCAGTACCATCATGGTTTCGATCTTTCTCCTTTGCACTCCCGTGGATTCTCTCAAAGCCATGTGCACATGTTCGAAAGATGTCAGGTTTGCCTTCCAAAAGTGGACACCGCTTGTAATCCATTCCGTTTTCATAGCTATTCGCTTCCTCCGGATGTTTCAACATCAATCTACGAATTGGGATAAACAATCGCAGGAATGTTGATGGTCAGGTTCCTGCCGGTCCGGTTTGCACACGCGGCGCCCCGCATGAGTGGGACAGATTGAAATATACCGATATGTCCTTGTTGCCAGAACTGACATCGGCTAGACCATTCCATTCATAGTGGGAAATGCAAATTGAATGCCTTGACAATCCAGGTTAATCATCAACTTTGTGATATTATGAACGATACAAGACTGTACAAGACTGATATGTGATGATTTGGGTTTTTGACATCCTGTTCAACTGGTAGTTCGAGGCATTTACATCCCATTGACAAACCTGTCTATCTGTTACTGAACTATCTGATCATATCTGATCCATTTCACCCATTTCACCCAAGCAAAGATTATGCAGGGACAGTTAGTCAGTCACCACCCTGGTCACTTGGTGGCTCATCCCACTTAGTAAGTGGGTTATAACCCCAGTTATAAATGGGATAAGTAGGGTTAATCCACTTATAACTGGGGTTATAACCCACTTACGAGCAGTGGGATGAGCCACCAAGCAGGAATCCTCCCACCTGGAAACCCTAAACCCTCAGGAGCCCGACCTTTCGATGGAACTTATGGGTCAGCTTCGAGTGCATCTTTCGGCCCGGCCCACTGGATTTCACAGCCAACCATTGGGGGTTTCCATGGGGATACCCCAATAGCTGGATGGTTTAAGGAAAATCCCAATCTAAAATGGATGATTTTAATGGGATCCCCCTTTAAAATGGAAACCTCCAATTGTAGTTATCAAATGCCAACTGGATATATATATAGCCTGTGCTTATCACGATCAGTCCCATCACAACTCACAATCGATAGCCATGTATCACATCCCGAGGCACTCGAAGCGGACTACATGAAGGAGGTGGGAAGCGATGATGAATTTGGCCCCCACCAGTTAGATCAGTCAGATAGTTAGATGTTCCTAAGTTGGTTTATAGTTCCCCTCTAGATCCCTTAAGTATAATAATCCCCAGCAAACTTCACAGGGCACCACGTAGCCTGGGGATTATTCTGAGTCGTGAAGCATCAGGTCCGAAAGGAGGGAAGCGAGGCCTGACCGGCTCACGTTTGTAGGTTGTGAAAGATACTAAAATGTCATTGCTGAACTTTTGGCTGAATGCAGCTGGGGTTGAATGTTTCTGTTTTGTTTGCCGGATTCTAGCTACAGTCGGGAATCAAAAAGTGGCTGGACCTCTGGTTGGTCGGTTCCGAACACCCCACCTTTCCAGCACCCGCTACTAGCCTTGAGGCACCCGCCTGTGCGGCGTCTCACTGTGAGAAATATTCCGACTTGGCGGCAGCGGAGATAGTCCCTTGGACCTGTGGAGATTCACGGATGGGCCATCAATCCAACAAAGAATAGTGTTTTTTTTACTGGGAAAAGTGGTTTTCATTGGCAACAATGAGGTTTTGTCATCTAAAAAGGTGGATTTCACCAATGTGAAGTGGTCGCCGAAACAAAGGAATGGTGGTATAGCCACGATAGGGCACGAAACCTGCCGATACGTCGATCTTTCAATGTTGCCAGTTAACACCGGTTGAGCGATGTCATCGCCGTTCGTGTTGACCTGGTTCCATGGTGATCACAAGCTGAAGCCTCGACACTGCTCAACCCTCAACCAGTGCAGTCAACCATCGGTGGGATGAACAGCCACTACCAGCCATTTTGCGATGCATAAGGCGTGTATGCTCCAGAGCTTCAATCCAGAAATCTCTGAGGCCGGATGCCATGGGAGTGGGTAGCCTGGAACCATGGGATGCACCAAGACAATGGGGATAGAACCCATTTCATGAGTTGACTTCAGGTGAGTGAATTATCAGAATGCGGCCAGATTGTGATCATTGGCAAATGGTGGTTTGGTGGGATAATATTTGGATTTCATGGCTATCGCTCATGCTCAGCAAGAAACTTGTACAGGACAAGAACGCAGAGAACATCCATCATCAACAGTTCCCAAGAACGAAGGGATATTCCCAGAGCCAGTTCCCATGGAGAAGCCCCGTAAGCGATGGCAATCTTACAGGTGTGCGGAAGTTGGCGGAGTGTTTAAAGGGTCATGTGAACATGGGGTCTAGTCAGTCTAGTCTAGTCATTTGAAGGAACACCGGGGATAGATTTGGAAGGGAGAAACCTTTTATTGGGCAAACCTGATATTTTGTTGGTCCTTTTTCAAGTGAACTATCTGCGTCAGATGTCAGTGAAGTCCATCATTGGTCGACAAGATGAGTGATGTTCTGCCTCGACAACATGATGAGATATGGTGATGGATCAAAACCTGCAACGGTGTCCACATCAAAACAAGTGGCTGGTCGCTTTGCATGTAATACATGCATGCATACATGCATACATGCATACATACATACATGAACCCTATATACGCAATGTACCACCGCGTTCCGGTTCACCGGTCGCCGCATCTGGCACCTAGGAGGATCTGGCACGAGATGTCGCCATCCCAGCGGCTGACTTGGGATCGAAGTTTGGATGGGAGAATGATTATAATATCATTTGAATATAGTATCATTATAGTCTCACTATAATATCACTGCATATGGAATAGCTATTTTTTGGTACTCTCCAGTAAATTTACATAGACCCTGCCAGATCGGGGTTGGAAGATTCGTGAAACCACTCAAAATTGGTGATTTTCAGGGTTATGTTAATTTACCAGAGTGTAATTCGTCATATAGACTGATGAAGGAAATTTATGTACATGTTCATATATGTACCATTGAAAAGCAAGCAATAATCCCATTGGGGCAAAGAAATACATTAGACTTAGCCATTGAAAAGTGCTGTGTGAATGATTGGGATGCGGGTTTTTCCGTTCATTACCAAGAAATCCATGAAGCAACAACCAAATAGGTCAGGTGGCAGTTGATATTTGGGAGCCTGGTTCGAATCTCTCCTAAATGAGGGGCCTACATCACCTGACATTTCCGCACAATGCAGAGATGCAAGAGATACAGCTGTGGCTGATTGTGGCTGTTCTTTGGTTTTTTTTTGTGCAGACGGAATACCCTCTGGTAAACTAACATAACTATGGAAAATCCACCCATTTTATAGCTGGGTAAATCCACTATAAATAGCCATTTTCAATAGCTATGTTAAATTACCAGAGGGTAAATCCCATTACATCCCATGGAAAATCACCATAAATTACCATAAATCACCATTAAAATCCATTGTAATTACTGATCCGTGGGTGATGACAATCACCTGTTTTAAACACGCCGCCCAGGTGCATAGCATCATCCATACGCAGTCGGTAGCAACTCGGCTCGGCGGTTGGATCGACCACCTGGGGGAAACGGCTCTGGCTTCACCAACAGTGTCACTTGTCACCCCAAAACAGACCATAGAAACACATAGAAACTATACACTTATCAGATCTTATCAGATCTTATCAGTGAAATATCGTACAATACCAGTTCTCCACAGTCACATGTTTTCCAAATTGATCCAGTTCTGATCCCATTGATCCACCACCACAGCCATGGTCTGAGGTTGGCCATTTGCATCCGCCAATGCTGACAGCAGGGACCTTAGCTGCTTAGCCCCTATCCTTTGTTGGGGATTACAATCCAAAAGGAATCCACAGCTCAGTTGGATCTTACTCGATCTTACTGGAAGGACCTAAGGATGGTTGGGATCTGAGAAATCTTGGGGAATACAGGGAATACGTACTTCAAATGACTAGAAACTCAAGATTTCCCATCGCTCATGAGAAAACTGCATGCATCATGCACTTAACTATGCACCCAGCATGTCCACCTACCACTGTAGTCACTGTACTTTTTTCAATTTTTCCCAGTTCCATGTGAATTTGGGACGCTTGAAGCTCAGCTGGGTTGAAGCCAAAACATGATGTAACGTGAAAGAATGAGAACATTCAGGGACCAAGAATTGCGATGTATCTATCCAAAACAAGACGGCTTTCACCAAAAAATCAGGATCTTTGACCATCTTCGACCATCTTTGACTACCCTTTGGTAAACTAACATAACTATGGAAAATCCAACCATTTTATAGCTGGGTAAATCCACTATTAATGGTCATTTTCAATAGCTATTTTGACATAACCAGAGGGTATCTCCAAAAAGCAATCGCAGATCTCACAGCTGATGCAGACAAGTTTCGTGGCTCTCCGAGCCATGCCAGGCACTACGCGAGTGCGTCCCGTGCGCACACTGAGCTGATTCGATGTCGAAATGAAATAACAGGAGAAACTGTGAAGATTCTGAATCCATAATAACTTATTAATAACCATAGAAATATCCAGATATTCACAAGATATTCACATGATTTAATGGTTATGTTTCATGGTGCCTGGTGTTACCGAAACGAAACTGTGAAGATCCACATGATCCCAGCCCGACCCCAGGTTAGATCGTCGTGCCTGGTTCGCCAATGACATCCACAGGAACGCCGTGTTGTGTTTTTTTTGGCGCATCCACGTGCCGAAAATTCAGTGGGGAAAAAACAGGGACATGTTTTCATGAAAATCATGGAAAATGCTAACTCACTCAACCATCATTTAATGTATAATGTGCATGATTTTTTTGAATAAAAATCAGGTCATGGGATTTATTTACCCTCTGGCAAACATGGCATCCTGGAAAATTCCCCAAACGGTGATTTTCCCAGCCATGAACCTTCGTTCGGTTCAGATTGTTCCCAGCCAAACTCGCATGATTATTTATACAGACAATGATTTAGGGGTACCCTCTGGTAATTTAACATAACTATGGAAAATCACAATTTTTAATGGGAAAACTCACTATAAATGGTCATTTTCAATAGCTATGTCAGCCATTACCAGAGGGTAGCATATTTTTTGGACAACCCCACATCAAAGCTTTGGTCAGAAAGGCCGTTCCAACGAAGAAGAACGCAGGTGTCTACAACTGACCGCGACAGGACCTTGATGTAAAGGATTCTTGGTTATAAATGATTGTTGGTTATTCTGACAACAGTTCCAACAGTTGCTGGAGTAAACACCTTGAGTAGGAATCCAAATTGTTGTTGTTTCATCCATCAGTATCGGTTGCTATTGATCCCCACTCTTACGACTTTCAATAGAAAAGTTAGTAATCCTCAAAATGGTAAGGAAGCACTTGTTGTTTTTGAGGACTCTGCGTATGAAAAAGTAAAAAGACAGATCCCACCTTGCCGTGCCAGGCATTTGCTCCGGCAGCGCCGCCGGCGGCCCTTTAGGAAGGCGCCGTTTCGGACCTTGTCAGACTCCAGAAAATTGACATAGACAACTGAGGATAACTGAGGATAACTGAGGATTTTTAGGATGAATTTTCCAGTTCTCCCCTGAATTTTCCCCAGCAAAGTTGTGATTTGGCCAGGTGCTGCAGATTTTCAGGCAACAGAGCGAGGAGACGTCAATGGCCATGTCACTGGCACAACTAAAAGGGGCACAGCCATTTTTGGACAAGCCCCAATGAGGCATTGATCTATTGAAATCTATTGAATATATTGTTGTTTCGTGAAAGGAAATCCCCATTGTTGATTGGTGACTGTATTCCTTTTGATCTTTTGGTAGGTTTCATATCTCCTATCGTCATTTTGAGGTTGTTATTCTGATTGCCATGTGGCGTTCCCCCATTTAGCAATGGTGAGATGATTTAACTGTCGACCCATTTCCAAAAATGGGAAGTTATATACCAAACGATGAGATGAGCTGATATCCATGGATATCCCCATATGGGGTTGATTCTTTCACTATATGTTAAATCAAAAATAGTTACCATTGGTGCTCATATTTCAGTGATTTCACCATCATTAACCTTCGTTAACACAGATGTGAACATTTAAGCATAGTTTAACCATAGTTTTCCATGGATTTTCACCATCATGAACATCGATTTTCCATGGATTTCCCCCAGTTTTACCATAGATCTTCCCCAGTGTTCCCTTGCAGCAGGACCGGAAGGTCCAAGTGACCGTGCTGAGTGCCTTTGGCGGTGCCGCTGTGGGCAGCACCGGTGGCGGCGTCCGCGGCTCAACTCTCAGGGTTTGGAGGATGTGCCCCCATAAAAATTGATAGAAAAGTGAGATTGATCACTATTTTAATGGGATCAAAAAGATGATGAAGATGATGAAGATGTCTATCTTTTTGGGGATATGAATTCATAAAAGTGTCGATCTTTTCCTGGGGATATACCCTCCAGGTGCTGATCAGTGTCGACTTGATGGCCAGTCGTTGAATATTGACCATGTTTATTTTCTATGCATTACTACCTACATTTTTCCAATACTTGTGATTATAAGTGAAATGTCTCCATCATTGATTGACCATTGTTACTGGTTGTATAGCCACATCAATGTTGATATATGAACCTCATGGGTCAACAAGCCAATTATGAGCACTTAAAGTCAGTTTTATCGTGTCGTTCATATCTAGCTTTGTTTGAAAATAATGAGCGCCAAAATCATTCAATTCGCAAGAAATGTGTTCCCATCGAATGGTCCTAAATTGGTAGCCAATCTCTGCTTTTGGACGAAGATGCCATAAGTATCCCCATGATGATTGGGCACATATTAACTTACCGATTAATCAAGAAAAGATATCATTGTTTGCCAGCCAATCCCCATCATTATCAGCTAGCGGCTAGCTAAATATTGATATCAGAATTTCTTCAGAAGATCATTGCCATATTATGCCATATTTATCAATTTTATCAGCTAAATACCCCTGTTATTATCATCCAATTCCAGAGGATTACTATCCACATTTCTATACCGAGGCTTGAGGCATCTCAAATCGGCGACTGGAAAACCACCAAAAATGTCCAGAAAAATACCACGATATGTTGTATCATATCCCAGAAAAAAAAAAAAAAACACTCCATCCCAATTTCCCCATGTTCAATCTTCTAGCCTTGATTGATAATCCCACTGGGTTGAAAAAATTGTCAGAGCTTAGTGGAATTGAAATATGAGATCATCAATTTATGATAATGTAAAAACTCCTGCAGTAAAACCATGTATTGTATATATCATCGATCTACCCGATAGCGTTGGTTCAAAACAGTGCTGACCGCTTACCGGTTGTAGGTTCACCCCATTAGTGTTGTATACCTAATTGGTGGCTGACCTTGTAAAATACAGGTTATCAGCCGTAGTCTCACTACTTTGCTATGGGGACCCCAATTGACCATCCTCTCGCCGTTCCAGGGTCAGGTCCATCGGCTGTCGCTGTGCCTAATATGGCCGGGGGCAACCCCGAGCCGATGGATGACGAAACAATGTTCCAACCCGTTGTTGCGTACTTTACCTTCATACAAAACAACCTGTCCCAGATTACTAGTGGGAATACCCTGCAAGTCATGAGGGAAGCTGAACAGAGGCACCTTCAGATAATGCATGGAGTAGTTGACTCAATTCGAAACGAATGGTCAAGTAGACTCGTAATGCAGGAGCAGGAGTATGAGCAAAGGCTGCAGGAGGTTGAAGGTAATGCCATTAGTGCCCTCAACGAGGAGAGGAAACGAGGCGACGAGATGGAGGTCAGGTTGAATCAGGCTCAGGCATCGCATGACAAAAGAATAGAGGATGTAAAGGCAGAGGCAAACACAAAGCATGATCAGAAAATTGCAGAGGAAAGGCAACGTATCACTAGTGAATTCGAAGCTTCCTATGCACAGACAGTTGAACATGCAAAGAATGCCATAGCTGCCACAAAGAAGCAATATGAAGATCAGGCTGCAATTGATCAGGCCAGGTTCATCAGTTTGAGGACTGAGTTTGAGAACTACAAGAAGGAGATGGCCGACAAGATCAACGAGGCAGCGGCTCAGAACCTTAGCCTTCAGGACCAAATCGATGATCTTCAGGAGCAGTTAAAGCATGTTGCCAAAGCGCAGCATGCCTCCGTTCCGAAAGCATCCGTCCAGAACGCCGAGCCGGCCGCTACCACTAGCGTGCCCCACTTCAATATTGCCACTCCCAAAGCATCCGATGCACAGGCTGCCAGAGGCAGTGATGAGCCGATTCTTGAGTTTAAGACGCCTGCAGTGTTGGCGCAGGAAGCAAAGGCCAAGTTGGATGAGCTGCTCAAAGGTGGCAGTCCCAAGCAAAAGCCGGCTGTCGGCAACGACCAGCCCCAATTGCCAACGCAGTCAGGGTTTTTCACTCCCACTGAAGCTATCAAAACTCCCCCAAATGAATCTCCTAAGAGCGCAACCAAGCAACAGCAAGTTATGGGTCCCTCAGATCTTATTGAATTGGTGAAAGCCTTAACCCAAAGGGAAGAAAAGGATAAGCCAAAAACTAAGGAGGCTGAACTCATCAAGCTGAACAACATGCCCGCTCCGGAGTCATATAGAACTTGGAAGAATCACGTCAGGGATGAAGTGAAAAGCTGTTCAGATCGCCCGGATGAGGCGTGGCTCTGGCTCAACGAGGTGTACGATCAAGAGTGCACCAGAGAGCAGTTGGAGAAGAAACTCCAAGATCCTGGAAAGTTCCTCACGCTGGATACAAAGTTATCAGCAGCGCTCACGCGCTCAGCCGGAGGGGACCTCGCAACTAGGATCTTGAATTTCAAGGAGCAGCAATCCCGAAAAGGCATCCAGGTCAGGGGAAGATATGTTCTGCTTATGTTTGAGGACTACTTCAAGACATCAGAAGAAGCAGGTAGCCTTTACAGAGTAGAAGATCTTTTGGGTGTTGTCAAAGTAGGCGATACTGTCCAGGATCTCCGAAGATTCATCAACAAATGGGATGCTACCCTAGCTGGCATGGCTGTCACCCCCGATGATGCTGTGTTAAGGGACATCTTGCTGAGGCAGATCCGACCAAGTCAGTTGCTGAAATATGACATCGAGGTGTTTGACCGTGCTCATGAGAAATCCCATGAAAAGTCTTACAGTTTTCTTCACCAATCCATGAAGAACTTGATCGATCGTGAACGATTGAGGGAGAACAGGAACCGCATTGCGGAGAAGAACAAGGCTGGGATTAAGGACACAAAGGCCGCACCCGCCAAAGGCGATGGTCGCGGCGGCCGAAAGGGCTCTCCAAGTCGCGGTAGATCGCAGGAACGAGGTGGCAAAGGTGACAAGATTTGCTATAAGTTCCAAAAGGGTACCTGTGATAAGGGGAAGAAGTGTCCATTCAAGCATGTCAAAGATGATAAGTCTCGAACTCAATCACCCAGAAGAACCAAAACACGTTCACCATCAAGGGGCAATAAGGATGATAAGGGGAAGAAGATGTCCAAAGAAGAAATGGCCAAAACCCCATGCATCTATCATGCCCAGGGAAAGTGCAGACGTGGTGACAAATGTTTTTATAAACATGATGACAAAGCCGCTGCCGCCACCAAAGACACCAAAAGGGCCAATTCACCCGCTCCCAAGAAGAAGGGCAAGGATTCCACAGCCGCTCCATGTCTGATCCAGAAGTTTGCATGCATCGTCCGAAAACAGCCGAAGGCAACTTCGTGCTCTGATGAGGCAAGTGTCAGCATGAAGCGTCTTAGATTCCGAAAGGCCCCACATGTGATCGAGGTGAAGGCAGTCGGTCGTCAAGTCCCAGTCAAGCACCGTCCAAGAGAGTTCACTAAGGTGTACAAGACAGCTGAAGATGTTCCAGTTTCATCAAAGGTTGAACAGCATGAAGCTCAGGTTCGTGCAAGACAGCTCCAAGAAACTGTGAAACTTCATGATTCAGATGTTGCACCAAGTTGTGGGTTTTGTTGTTGGGATGAGGACACACGTGACATCACATGCAAAGAGTGCAGGTTCATCAGCGGTCCCAAAGCCCTTAGAGACATTGGTCGTTTCCCGTCAATTGCCACAGCTGCGCCAAAGGCCGGTGTTAGTTGGCTTGTTGACTCAGGTAGTGAATCCGATCTTGTGTCCAAAGGAATGCTGAGGGATGTAAGTGCCAAGAACTGCCGTGCAGCCGAGCATCCGATTTCCTTAGTCACTGCCAACGGTTCGACTGAGGCAAACGAAGTTGCTGATGTCAAGTTGTCCGCATTGCCAGATCCCGTGCATCCGTATGTGCTTGATCATACCCCAGCTGTGCTCTCTGTAGGAACGAGATGCGTAGATCAGGGTTACAGTTTCGTATGGCCTGCCAATGGCAAACCAATCCTAGTCCGTCCAGATGACAAGGTCGTCCAGCTCAAGATCGAAGGTCATGTCCCAATCTTGGATGATAGTTGCAAGGTTTATCCCAAAGATCAATTTCAAAAGGATAAGCACCTCAAAAAGTTGTTTGCAATGCCGACCTCACGGTCGAGCTCAAAAGCCAAGCGGGACGAAGCCCAAGATGAAGAGCAGTTGGATGAACTGGTGGAGGATGACGCTCAGCAGGAGTACATCCGAAGCCGCAAGACTGAGGATCTGTTGGCTGAAGCTGCAAGTACCCAACATCAGTACACGCATTTCCCCAAGAACCCCTTTTGCAGAACCTGCCAACGAGCAAGGATGATGGCACCTCAGGCACGAAGGAAGGGTGGTCAGAAGAGAATCGAAACTGAAGTGTTTGGTGACCACATCATTGGGGATCACGTCATCATCAAGAAAAATGTAGAAGAGGGTTTCAGGGGGGAGCAAGTTGCGTTGGTGTTGAAAGATCTGCACACCCAATATCGGTATGTCTACCCTAGCCAGTCCAAGGACTCACAAAGCTGTGTTGATGGTCTGAATCACTTCATTGGATCAAAGGATGATGTTCAAGTTGTGTACACTGACAATTCCCCAGAATTGATCAGGGCCATCAAGGATTTGGGTTACAGACACCAAACTTCCATTGAATACGTAGATTCATCAAAATCTTTTGCTGAGCGCGAAGTTCGTCAGATGTTGGAAGGTGCCCGGAGCAACTTGTTGCAATCAGGACTTCCTTTGAAGATGTGGCCATTGGCCATGCAGCATCATGCGACCGCGATCAATGCAAGCCCCCAGCTTGACGGCAGTGATTCCCCATGGCAACTCAGGTTTGGTGAAGAGTTCCCTGCAATGCACATTCCATTTGGTG